GGTAGTGGAGGAGGATAACTTAGTACTAATAAAGTAGTTATTACAAGATACATAGTACTTTACTTAAATAGTAGTAGAGAGTGATATTAACTAAATAGTACACAGAGAGAGAGAGAGAGAGAGAGAGAGGGGATATTTCTTAAAAATGTGCTCAAGTGGATGTGTGTGTTTGGATATGTGGGGGAGATAGAGAGATCACCTAAGTGTGTTGGTGTGATCCAGCAAACGCTTGCCTTCCCCAACACTTGAATCCTCATGAAGCAAACTTGGATCCAAGGGGTGAACCAGCCCTCTCTTGTGAAAAGCAGCAACCAGCACTTGAGCCACGCTTGTGAGAGGGCTCCCTTCTGGTCTCACACAAACATAGAAAGGTGAACCAAACATGAACACTATGAGAGTGATGACCATAGTCATAGTTGGTATTCCATAACCAAGCCCCCAACCGACATTGTCTTGCACATATACAACCACAGTTGCAGCCACTACAACGCCCAAGGCCAAGATTGCAAACCACCAGTTAAAGAAGGAAGCCTTCTCTCTCCTCACTTCTTCAGAGTCGGCCTCCTCGAATTGGTCGGCACCGAAAGCCTGCAAGCATGGCTTATGACCCCCTGTTCCTACGGAGACCAAGTACAGGCCCAAATAGAAGAATGCTCCTTGAATTTTGATGGCAGTCTTGAAGAATGGTATAGAGACTGTAAGCGTCATGAGAGCGAGGCCCTTCGAAGGTGAAAAAAAATCATCAATAACCAGTGTTTTATCAAATATGAGCACGTATACTATGCTCTCTCTTTACTTCTACTACCTTGGTCAGAAGACTTGGGAGGATTTTTTTTATCTGAAATTTTGAAAATTACTTAAGAAATTTTGGTAATCACTAAAGACTTTGTAGAATATTTTCGTATCAATAGGCTAGAGTCGAGTCTATTGATAAGCTTAGGCCTAGCTTGGGCCTTTGATATTGCTATTTATAACTAGCATTTTCCCCCTCTTTTCGTCCTAACTCATGCATCGATGTGTGTTTAATGGCTTCTGTTTTTTCATCCTTTTGAGAGTCTTGCTCGTGTACAAATATCTACAAACCTCATTTTATTAATGTTTGGAATTACATAAGCAAAATGTAGGGAAAATGAATGAAGGCCGTGAATTTGTATGACTTTAGCAATCCCAAAATCATTTGGCTTGTTCAAACTTGTAGAGGAACCTTAAAGTTTGAAACGCCAAATAAAACAAAAATGGTCTTTACAATGAAGAACACATGTTTTGATAGATTCCACCCAGGGTAGAGAATTTACCCTATCTGAATTTGAAATCTAAAATTCAGATGCTATCCAGATCTAGGTATGGATCCAAGATTTGGGCCTAAGATCCAAAAATTTAGATTTGAATAGTAATTCGGGTCGGATCCGGGGTATAGGTGGATCGATTTGGTTATGATCGGATTTTTTAAAATAATATATATTACTATATCTATACATAAATATAGATGCTATAATTTATATATTTATTAATTTACATATGTAATATATAATTATTTTATCGTTTGTAGTTATATTTTAATTTTATAATATACAAAATTGGAACTAATCCGAATTCGGATCTAGATCGTAAATATAGTTTTCGATCCGGGTCCAGATCTAGATCCAAATATTTTGGATCCAAATATGGATCTGGATCCATCCGAATGAGGATCTAGGTGGATCTAGACCTGATCCAAAAGAATTCTCAACCCCAATTGCACCCCTGTAACCATAGGAGTACCAAAATACTTTGACATTGCATCAATCAAATCATATTTATTCTTGGGAGTAGCTAAGATCAACCCACTAGCTGACAACTATAGTAAACACCAAATGGCCCATATTGAAGATGGGCAAATCTTATGGTCATAATCGTATTTTGTAGTTGAATTTTATTTTTTTTTTACAAATCCAAATCACTTTGGAGCATCTAATCTTTAAAAATAGGCGAATCTAATAAAAATATTTGAAAAATAATTCACAAAAATAAATTGACCAAAATAACTCCAAAACTTTTAAGGGTATTTTAATTAATTTATTTTCTATGAATTATTTTTTAAACATTTTATTAAGTGCATCTTAATGAGAAGGTTAGAGGCTCATATGGATTGGATCTGTAAAAAAAAAAAAATTAAATTCAAATACAAAATATAGTTGTGATCGTCAGATGGGTCCAGATTCAATTTGGACCATTGAGCTTATACTATTCCATCATCACATGGGCTGACATGATCTTTTATTTTCATCCTTTTGTATGTAATCCCATTTATTCTTTTGTATGTAATCTTTTCGAACCCCTAACAAATGACCGAGCCAATATTGTTAAATTCCCTTAGGAGTGCTCTTCATTTTAGACAAAACCACTTTGGTCCTTCCAGAAATTTGGGTGGAATTTTCCAAGTATTTTTTAAGGGATTGTATACAATGAAACCTTGATACAAGGTGGTTACAATTCCTTACAACCACTTAATGTGAAATTTGATAGCTTAAATGTGTCACAAAGTTCGAAAAAATGTCTTTTAAAATTTGAGCTTGATCAATGAAATAATTGCAATCACCCAATTCAAATCCAATGTTCAAGATTAATATGACCGCTTTGTGTAGAAGGTAAAATGGTCTCATTCTATACTTTCCCATTTTTTAAAGCTAAAAAAAGAAAGAATTAGTTGGCACTCGTTTAAAAGCGTTTAATATAAAGGCATGTCTTATAGAATTATGATTTTTTTTTAATTTCATATGTTTTATAACCGCTTTTATGTATAAAATTTTTTTATATATATAGAGGGTAATATTAAAAAATTTATTGATCTATTCATTTAATTGGGGAAGTGATTTGCTTCGCTTCCGTTTAAGGCACTTAATGCACTTCAGGGAAGAGAAGAGAATTTGATAACACTAAACCAAATAAAAAGGAGTCGGTATATGGGTTAAAGCACTTTGGTCATCGTAGGGATGCTAGCTGCCGTACCCTCTTTTTTTTATTCTTCTTTATTTATTTATTTATTTATTTATTTATTTATTTATTTATTTTATTTTTTTTGGGTGGGGGTGTTAGTTCAGGTGTAAGAATCGAACTTGATAACAAAAGCTTTTAACTTATGAAATTTGATATAATAAAATCATTTGATGTTTAACCAATGATGTTAGATTCGGGTTTGGTGAGAAAAACAAAGCAATCTGGTGCTTCGGCTAAATCAAAAAAAGATTTCGGAATGTTTTTAATTTAACATAAATAAATTAGATATTTGTATTTAAAATATATAAAAATGACGATAAAATTCAAAAAAAACCTTTTATATAGATATTTATTTGCTTCGGCCAAAGCTTCGATCAAATAGGCTTAGACCTAGCCGAAGCTGCCAGAAGCTGACTTAAGCGACAACCTAGCTTCGATTCGGTTCGGTCTAGGCCTAAGTTCTGAAGACTTCAGCCGAAGGGATACGAATTTAACAACATTCTTTGATCATGCAAAAGAAAAAAAAGAAAATTATGGCGACGCATGACAGGATTCAGACCTTTAGAACTTACCATGATGTAAACAAAGGTTGAATAAAGCACCATTCGATATCGCCCAAAATAAGTGTCGGCCAAGAAGGCTCCAGCTAGTGGCACAATTGTGGTCACTCCCATCCATGTATTCACACTTTGTGCAGCAACAGCTAGCCCTTTTTGCAACTCGCCAGTTAAAAAAGTAATCAAATTTGATGCAATTGTATAATAAGCTAGCCTCTCCCCAAACTCCACACCTGATTCAGAATCAAAACTATTGTTATTAAATTGGACATTTAAAAGACAAAACCGTCTTTCCATTTAACCAAACATAAAAGACACCTTCAGCGGGGAAAAGGGTTAGGGTCGAAATAGTAACATCCGTACATCCCACCTAGTGGTTTTCATTCCCATTGATACCACTTTACTTACCCTTTCAAAAATTAACTCCTAAACTATTCGAAAAAACAAATAGCGGTGATGAACATCAAACATGCCTTCAATTTAGACCCTATTTGGCATGAATAGCTCTCTCTCACCATCTCTCTTGTTTACAAAGGATAATTTGGGGTCTAAGAGCGCTCTCTCTATCTCTATCTCTCTCTTGTGTACATAGGATGAACATCAAACATGCCTTCAATTTAGACCCTATTTGGCATGAATAGCTCTCTCCCTCCATCTCTCTTGTTTACATAGGATGCACATACCTATGATAAAAGCTGCTGCTTTCCATCCCTGCTCCTGCTTCCTTTCACTTCTTGCCATGGCTTCCAACCCTAAAAGCATTCACCTTTAAGGCCTATCTATGGCTATGGGCACCATATAACTCAATTACATTGCTAAAAATCGCCATATATATCTTGTTTATACTTATCACAATAAAAGAAAAGCAAGTAAAGAAACTTGCCTAAAAGGAACGCGTGGAATAAAGGATTCGCTGCATGAATAAAATCAGCCATCCAAATAGAGTAAAGAGCGGCTATGGTTGACATCGGTGCTTCTTTTCGTATGCAATGTGGGAGACATTTGTCGACTTCAAATTTCAATGCATGTAAAATAAGATTTTTGTCTGAAATATCAGAGACAGAGAGAGAGTAGGGATGGCGACGGGTTGGATACGTGTCGGGTCCAGACCCAGACCAGAATAGTATTTCAATCTAAAATTTGGACCCGTATCCAGGCCCAATGGGTCCTGGGTATGGTTTGGTCGGCTTCATTGCCACCTTAGAACTATAAGCATATTTTTTTTATTTTTTTTGCCTATTTTTTACTATCATATACCCTACGAATAAGAGCTTTTTTTTTTTTTTGCCAATAAACCTATAAATGTTGCCAATGTTGTGACTATAAGACCACCTACCACACGCCTAAAAACACATGATTGCCAATATATACCCTATGACTCTGGGTATGAATCGGGTACAGATTAGATCTGGCTGGACTAAGATCCAGACCCGAATTGTATTCGGGTCCAAATTTTAGACCGATACCTAGACCCGAGGTCAGGTATACCCTGTCAGATCGCGGGTCTTGTCGGGTCCATTGCCACCCCTAAGAGAAGAGTGAAAGAGAGAGGTCATCTTTCTTTATCCAACTTTATGGTTATAACTCATGTGTTCTACATTTCTCCCATGTTTTCTTAACCATACCACATTCCAAAAGCTAAAGAACCTTTATATTTAGTTCATTTGGCGCTGTAGATTTCTTCATTAATAAATACATTTTCCTGTTTTGCATTGACCTATATCCCTTAAATGAGATTATGGAAGGCTTAGAACACTATTTTGAAGAGGGTTTATATAATATTATTGGACTGTTTTTGGTACACACAGGTCGCAATTAGCCTGTCAAATCGAATGTCTCTAGATGTTTCACTCTTTTATAAAGCTTGATAAAGCATTTCTATAACTTTTGGTGTGCTCAATTAGCGGTGGCATTTGGGCTGGCCGACCATAACCGGGAACGGGTCCAGTATTGGACCAGGCAGGTTGGAGCCAGGTCCAAATGATTGGGACCCTATATAACAATATAAAGTAAATAATAGGGATTGTACATTATGAGACCACTTACTATTATTAGAAGGGGGGTCATAATTACTCTTAACTATCGATATCAAATCAGATAGCTTGGGACGTGTTATGAAGTTCGAAAATTTTCATTTTTTAACTTTAAATCTAATCAATGACACATTTACAATCACCTGATTTAAAATTTGACAAACAATAATAATTATGAGTTCTTTGTATTAAAAGTAAATACTCTTTTTATAAAAATTTCTTAAATTATATACGTTTTTTATTATTTTTAGTTGTAGACCTAAATTATATACGGTTTTTATTATTTTTAGTTGTAGACCCAATGCTACCCATCCCTGATCTGGATCTAAGTTAGACCTTTTTTTTTTTTTTTTTGAAACGATAAGCTCTCATTAGGATCCAAGCTAGACCTTGTCGGGTAGGGTCCAGCTCAAGGTCGACCTAGACCCAACCGACCCGTTGCGACCCCTATGATCATATCCCCAATTATAATAACGTATGCACATTGTGGCAGCATTTCTATCTCCTACCACTTCCTTGATCATCTGATAGGAACAACGCATGGTACGGCAGTATCACACTGCTTAAGCCCATCAATTTTCGAAATTTTTTACTAACTTTTGAGATGAGAAACGACACTCCGAAACCTGCCCTCGCCGGTATCCGGAGGCATTAGCAAATTGTAAAGACCATTATTTTTAGGGTGTGGTTTCCATAATGTTGCAACCTTAAACAACCCATTCATGACGCACCATCAAATTTTTTCATAACACATAACTTGGATGTCAAATATTTTTAAGATTATCTACAAATCTATTTTCAAATATAATTATAAAATTTTAAAATTTCAAAATAACATATAAATATCTTGAAAATGGACGGTCTAGATAATGTGTTGTAAGACACACCATTTTTGTGGCTCAAAATCCTTTTTATTTTTTCTTCATAATCATACATCTCGATGTCGAGATGATCACTTAAAAGGTTTTTCAACATTAAAGCAATCTTTACCGATGGATTTTTCAGGTGCCTCCGTATTTCTATTTTTTAAGGTTGCAACCTTATATAAACTTTTTACTTTTGATATAAGGAGGTCGTAGTTTTTATTGGGTAAGTATAGGTTACCGTCACTATTTGACTGTTACATTTTAAATATGGTGGTTGTGAGTATCCCATCAACAAGTCTTAAAGTTTAAAAAAAAAAAAATCTTAAACTTTGTGATACACCTCAAGACATCCAATTTGACTTTTGATAGTTAATAACAATTATGACCTTCTTATAATAAAGATAATTGATTTCATGTATACAATCCCAATTGTAAAATGCTAGCATAGTCTACATTGCCAAAGTCTAGACATCCTCTTGGCCAAAGGCCTTCCCTATAAAACCTCCATAAGCATACCCATTATTTAAATATTTATTTCTTTTTGAACGTTAAGTGAACTTTCATTGAGAACATAAAAAGGATTACAAGATAATAGAAGTGGTAAAAGAGAAAAGAAAGAAAAGATAGAATGGAGGGGAGAAGTGACAAGAAGAGAGAGGTAAAAAGGATTACAAGATAATAGAAGTGGTAAAAGAGAAAATAAAGAAACGATAGAATGGAGGGGAAGAAGTGACAAGAAGAGAGAGGTAAAGAAAGACCCGAAAGGGGAAGAGCTAAAGGCAAAAAAGTTAAAAGTGCAAATGAAATTGACGCCCATTAAATGTGAACATTCTCTCCACTACGAAGGCCTCCATATACACATTCGCAGAATCTTTTCATGGTGATAAATTCTACTAATATATTAGCCATAGAGTCACTTCTCCATACATATATCTGGTTAATTGTTGTTCTAAGAAAAATTTATCAAAATACACACAAAAGATAATCTATTTAAAAACACCCGTCAAAATACACATGGCCATGAGTTAGAATAGTTGAAGAAAGGTAAATTGTTAAATTATTAAAAAGTTTTATAGGTGTTTTATTAAATTTCCTTTATTCTAGTTATTTTTAAGATTTTAAAAAAAAAGCCCTTTTAATTTATAGGATTGTCTATAAAGAGACTATTTACTTTTTATACGAGGAGGTCACAAATATTATCATTTATTAAATGTCAAATTGGATAGCTTGGAGTGAGTTACAAAGTCCGAGATTTTTTTTTTTTGAAACTTTATATCTAATCAATGACACTATTAGAACCATCTATTTTGAAATTTAAGAGACAAAAATGATTATAAACTCCTAATACAAAAAGTAAATGGTCTCTGTAGATAATCCCTTAATTTCCTGCACCAAAAGTTGATCGTGGCGAGATAATAGTCATTGGGGATGAGTGAGATATTTTGCAATATAAAATGCTCATCTTTGCAACAAGATAGCAGTCACAAGAGATGATGAAGAAACTTGTGAGTACATAGCAACCGATCAAGTTGGAGAAAGAGAGAGAATCTGCCAGTACATATATCCAGATCAAGTAGACCAAAAAGGACATATATTATTGGCAGTGACTCTTCTTTATTAACCAATTTATTCTCTCAAGGATTAGGTACCATATACTGTTTGAGTACAATATTCTTACAGTTTTATCCAATGGTTTAAAAAGCGGATAGGTGATCCGCATCGGGTATTTCAAAAACCGATCAAGATTGACGAATCGACGATCCGAATCGGGAATTTGCTGAATCGGTCTGTTTAAAGCTTCAAAAAAATCCGAAAAAATTATTAAAATTCATTATAAATATTGTTTTTTAGGAATCCAATAAGAAATGAAGGTACTACATTAATAACTTTCATTCTTTTCATCAATTTGTGAATATTGAGATGTTCTTTCCCTGTATAAACTTATGTTAACCATTAAATTTGCATCACATAAAAGAAAAATGATAGAATTATCATAGATAAAATATATAATTATACATGGACTATTAGAAAGAGTAGACTAATCAATGAAAGAATGGCCATTAAAATCTCGTTTTGACGAAAAATCCTAATCCGTTAAAAAAATCCAAATTATTACAGACTAACTAACTATAATCCAAAATTATTAAAACGTAACTAATTATAATATTATATACTGAAATTATAATTATTAGTTTACATTTTATAATTCTTTTATTAGACAAATAATAACAAATTAAAAATATTTTATAATATTATCTAATTTAAAATGTATTATTGACAACTGTAATGAAATAGTAAATTACATAATTTATAATGTAAAAATTAATAAATAAAATAAAAAATTTGGCTATCAATGTAAAAATTAATAAAATACGTACAAATTTTGGAAATAACACTTCAATTTTTCAAAAATTTATTTTTTTAGGTTTCTATAATAAATTTAGTGAAAGAGATTGTTAGTAGAAAGATGGAGATTTCAAATAGAATAAACTTTTTATGTTTTATTTTTTTATGCCTTTCATATTATTTTAAAAAATTATTATACCACTATATACAACAAAAATTAACTGCTATACAAAAAATTAACTTTTTTATTTTTCATTTTTTTATGTTTTTTATATTATTTACAAAAATTTTATATAACATATACAACAAAAACTATACTACACAAAAAAATAACGCCCACGGGGGAACTCGACCTTGAGAGGTCACATGAAGGGCAAAGGTCTTAACCACCACGCCACCTCACCATATGTGGTTATAATTTGATGATTAATAGAATATATTTAAACTCCCTTTTCATTTAATGATGTTTGAGAATTATCCCATATTGAAATATGGGTATTTCACTTTAGTATATAAATACCTATGTAATATAAATTAAAATGTCTGTGTAGAAATATTGGGGTAACGTCACACGTGTCGCACGAGTACACGTGCGTGTCGCACGCCTGCAGGGAGGGAACCGGGCTGAACCGGATAGAACCGGACAGAACCGAATTGGAACCGGCGGCTCTTCTCTAGAGCCGGGCGGTTCCCGGTTTTGTATTGGAACCGGCACGGGCTGTGCCGGTTCCCGAACACTGGTTTTATCCAACGTCCATTTTTCATGCTTTTATGGTCTGTACCGAAGGTAACTTTCCATTTAAGACTCATACACATTCATGTTTACAAACCACTTTCATCGATACAGTTTATAAAGGACTTAACATCAATCGTCGACTAATCCTAACCATTTCTTCTACTACTACGCAAGAAAATTATATCCTCAAATACACATGAGCTCAAGAGGCATCTGTGAAGGTTAACAATGGCTTTCGGTGGAGGTGTCGGTGGCGGAAAATGTTGACACCGGTTGAGAACACTTGGAAAATGGCGAGCCCTCGATGGTGTTCTAGGATTATAAATAGAGGTGTGGTGAAGTGAATGGTGAGTGGTAAAGAGAGATTGAGTGGTCTTGTAGAGGAAAATCGAATGGTGTGATACAATGATAGAGAGAGAGAGGTGTTGTATGTTAGCTTTTTTCTGATTATGTGTTTCAAAAACAACCTATTGTTGAATATATTGCTAGTTCATTTTCACATTGTGCTCTATAAGGACTATCACACCTTTTACCTTATTTTTGCAACTCATCTCTTTCATTTAGACGCCAAGGTCATGTAATTCATGTGGCGCCTTTTTGTTGATATTTTAAGGCCTTCTTCACATGCCCTGTAAAATTTATATATTTTAATATTTTATTGAGCCCAAAAAAACTCTACAGTATCAGCCTCTGATTTCCTCTTCCCATATACATGTTAAAAAAAAACCGCCCTCTCTACCCATAATGCCATAATCTCTTCATGTACCATTCTCAAATGTCACCTCCATCTCTTTTTTGTACCATCTTATTACATTAAGAGAATCATCTTCCCCTACAATCTTTCGATCAAACCCCACAGCCAGTTTCAATCCCTGCACACTGATCCTCACTCAGCTTGTTAGCCATTGCACACCCAATCAGCCCAAAATACTGTTTCAGTATCTCACCATTACAATTTCTTATCAGCCCCCTGTCTCTACACTCCTTGGTTTCCCAAAAGTGACTTTCTTTTTTTTTTTTACAAGATCAAGAAACTTTTATTGATAGAGACTGCATGAGCATATAATTAAATCAAAGAAACAAATAATAAAGACAAAGAAGTAAAGAACTTTCAAGTTTAGCAAGACGATCAGCATGGTCATTTGACCCTCGATAGACATGAACAAATGAAAGGTGAAAACCAACAATTGAAGAAATGTCCAAGATTTTCAACCAGAAAGAATGAAGAGACCACATAACCTTTTGCTCCTTATTACACCATTTAATGTCAAAATTAATTTTAACAACTACCACACCAAGTAACCCCCAATTTCCTACTTACTAACTTGTCTTTTCCATTTTGTACATAAGATATATTCTAGAATTCCCCGAACTCTTTCCTTATATTACTCCATTCTACCACCACCACTCTTTTATCTTCTCAATCGACTACTAATTTTCCTGCACCACCCCCCTTCAGACGTCCTTCTATAGCACTCCTTCCAACCTTCCTACACAAGAACAACTTTAAACAATACTCCAAAACAACTTTCCTATGCCAAAAACACCTCCTCCCAATGAGTGAAAATATCACAAATTTGTACTGTAATGGAAACATACAATTTCGTTTCACTAAACACCTATTCCCAAATTCATTCCATGTAACAACAATCGAAACCAAGTGTTCATCTACTTCCTCATCAGATTTACACATGTTACAAACATTAGTAATAATCTTTCCTCTCATCCTCAACACATCAATTTTTAAAAAAGGGTGAACATTCTTGTATCTTCATATGCATATAATTTATATGCATCTCGAGAAATCCACTCATCCTAATCTTGATTTGATAGTTGAGATTGATCAGGCCATGCTCTTAGACAAGCAATAGTGTCAACTAATGATATTTTTCTTGACTCACTCCCAATTATCCAATATTGATCAAATATATGTGAGTCTTCAAACACATGAATTATATGTGTGTAGATCAGTTTCCCGCCAAACAAACTCTTCAGCTAGTGGTCAATATCTCATCAATCACGGCCTTTGGAAATCGAGATCCATAATGCAGCGTTGAATACCTTATTCCAAAGACATAAGGTATAAATATCCTCCCTTCTTTTGGCTAATCTAGGAGTTGCTTCTCTCCTTGATCTAAGGGAGGGTTTTAGCTCTTTTGCCCTGAGGGAATAAGCATGTAGTGTGCCCTCATAAGACTATACTTTATGCTCTTTGGATTCGTATAGAACACCAAGTAGTTGAGAAAAAGGCAGAGGATGATGATGTCCTCAAGAGACTATACTTTATGCTCTCTCTGGATTCGTATAGCACACCCAAGTTGTTGAAAAAATGGCAGAGGATGATGATGATAATGATATATATATATGAAATATACAAATGTAATTGGCATACTGGGCTAAATATCATCTACACCCCTATACTCAACAATAGATGATGTATACAAGTCATTTTCCAAACCTAGGCTGACTTGAGGTTAAGAGTATTTCATCTCTTCGCATGCATTTTGATCATGTTTAAAAAGCTCAAACTCGTTTGCAGCTTAGTTACTGCTAAAACTCAATGGACCAACCAAGTCGGTAAAGTCGTCAAGCATTTCAAAATTTATTACAAATTTTATAAGGATGATGTATCAATTGGTGATTAAAAATTTGAATCGGACAGGTTGGTTTTCCTAAGTGCAACTGAAACTAGTTTCAGTGGTGCACAAAATAAATCCTTACCTCAAATTCTCATCCAAAAAATCACTTTTGGCAACGAAAATCTCCACGATAGTGTACTAAAATTGATTTTCAACACTGACAATAAAATTTGAAACTCAAAAAATAGAACGGATCTTGCAGATTTGTGAATACTTATTGTTAAGGCAAAATGGATGGTCTAAATGATTTGTTGCAATATACATTATTTTTAGAATTTGAAATCCTAATTTTTTTCACAACAATAATGTTCAAGTTGAGATGATTGCTTTAAAGGTTTTCCAAACACTTCAATTGCAATTTTGTAGATGAGGCTTTATTTATTTTGATAGGGCTGCAGCCCTATCAAACCATTTTCCTTAAAAATATATTGTTATTATTTTTGGATTGATCTAACTTCGTAAACCTTATTTAAATTTTATAAACAATCAGCATTTAAATTTTATAATTATTAATTAAAAAATTGGCCGAATCGGCCGATCAGACACAGAACTAGCGGTGACCAATTCGACACACGGCTTACTTTCAACACCTGATATCAATAATGTAAAATTGAACTCACCTCGTTAACCAAACATTCCAAATTGTTACGGGCAAAGAATTCTAGACCATTTACTGGGAAAATCAACAAAAAATACATACAAAACCAAAAACTCAACACATCCCAAGCTTTTCATATACAAAACTCATCGAATTGACTCGCAATGGACGAGGTTATTGATGCTACATGTATCACAGTAATACAGCTCCCTCACAGTAGTAGAGAGGATAAAAAGCTCCACCAATATATGGGTGGCTATCCTTTGTTGGGGCTGACCACCCTACACACCATAGACTCATGAATCCATAACCCACTTAGCCAACTTTATAGCAAGGCCAAATGACCAAGCCCCAAGACCCTCTAATTGTGTAGGCTTTTTATAACTTTGTTATTAAATTCGAGTGTTTAGAGAGAGAAATGGCCTGTTATGCAATATCGACTGTGTCATTTGGGCGAGCAAGTGGGTTGGCACCCACCATGGCTTCGGTTGTGCCTGCAATCATAGTAGGTGGTGGGAGAGTGGGTCAGGCGTTGCAGAGCATGGGAGGAGGCAAAGATGTTATGGTGAGGAGAGGGGAAGCTGTGCCCTTGGATTTTCCAGGCCCAATCTTGGTTTGCACCAGGAATGATGACCTTGACGCTGTTCTTGACGCTACCCCCAGGCCTAGATGGAGCGGTAAGCCTCTCTCTCTCTCTCTCTCTCTCTCTCTCTCTCTCTCCTACTACTACTACTACTCGTACGTTAGTAGTAGTAAAGTAGTACGTAGTAGGTTACGTTACGTACGTACGTAGTAACGT